GTCTCCCCCGTGCGCCCCGCTCCCCCCTGCGCCTCCCCGGGTCTCCCCCGTGCGCCCCCCGCGGGTTCCCCGCACTCACCGCGCGCCACCAGCAGCGCCCGCGCCTCGCAGCCCCGCAGACAGTGCAGCAGCGCCCCGCGGCGCAGGCCCGTGCCCAGGAAGGCGGGCACGGCCCCCAGCCGGGCCAGCCCCAGCCAGGCCCACACGAAGCCGGGCTCGTTGCCCACCAGCAGCGCCACGGTCTGGCCGGGCCGCAGGGGCCCCCCGGGGCCGCGCCAGGCGCGCAGCGCGTTCGCCACCCGCCGGCTCGCCCGCTCCGCCTGCCCGTAGCTGAAGCGCTGCCCCTCGAAGCGCAGGAAGAGCCGCTGCGGGGCCGCCCGCGCCAGGCCGGCGAAGCGCTGGGCCAGGCTGGACCCCGCGCCCCGCAGCACCCGGCGGCGGCACAGCAGCGCCCGCAGCAGGAACCGCGCGTCCGCCCACAGGTGCGGCCAGAGCCGCCGCTGCAGCCACAGGAGCGCGGCCGCGGCCACCGCCGCCCCGGCCAGGTACATGCCGCCGCCGGAGCCGGGCTGGGGCTGGCTGGCGCGGGGGCGCGCAGGGGCGGGGCAGGAGCCTGCGCGCCCCCGGAGGAGGAGGGGGCCGGGCCCCGCGCCAGAGGCTGGGCGCGCCCCCGGGGGGGGGGCCAGAGCCGGCTCCGCGCCCCGCGCCCCCGGCAGGAGCTGGCGCGGGAGAGGGGCCCCGGGGTTGGGCAGGGGCCTAGCGCTGCCCCGGGGGGGCTCGGTTCCGAGCTGTGAAGTGGGGAGCTGAGAGCCCCCCCCGGGGGACCCAGGGCTAGGAGGCGCCTGGCTCCCCCCTGCCTGGGCAGTGCCAGCCCCGCCGTGCCCCTCTGTGCATACACGCCAACCCCTGCCCCCTTAGCAGCACGGACACCGCGCAGGGACGGTGACCCAGGTGAGGCTGGCTTTCAGAGACCTTCTGGGATGGGTATGTCCCGCCCAGACCCCGGGTTCGATCCCTATAACCCCTCTGCCCTCGGGCACCAGGAGTGCTTGGGGGACAGGGGCTCGGCTCAGCCCAGCTCCCAGGACAGTAGATGGGGAAGGACTTGGCTAGTGTGGAGATGGGGCCACGCCAGACTCTCCCCCCCTCTGCCCAGCACCTGGCAAGCGCCTGGTATTTAACCTCCCCCCAGTTGCTTTAGCGTCCCTGTGTGTGTGTGTGTGGCTGGGCAGGGAGGGGACACGCCCGAGCTCTCACACCGAGGGGAGAAGAGCCCAAACCGCCCCTGCAGAGCCGGAGCTGGCAGAGCCGGGGGCCAGCCGTGCTGCACCGTGTTGGCTACAACAAGGAAACGTTGGGCAAAGCTGTTGCCCCATCGGGCCCGGGCCCGGCCCCGCTGCAGGGAGGGGGCTGTTCCAGGTCCAGGCTCCTTACAGAGCCTCCTAGGGCGAAGGAGTCCTGGATCCCCAGTTTTGGCCCAGAGCTAGAAGACTCTGTGAGCAGCCAAACCCAGCCGGGCCCCAGAGCAGCGGGTAGCGCAGGCTGGCTGTGGAGGAGGGCTCCGCGGGAGCTGGGGGCACATGGGAGTCCGGCTGTCAGAGACCCAGGCTGGAAAGCCCAAGCGCATGGTCTGGGCAGGGGGAGGGGGCCCCAGCCTGGGACAGAGCGGCCCTGGGGAGCAGTGCCCTGCGTCTGGTGTCTCAGCTCCTCGGGGCCGGGACTGTCTTTGACTGCCTGGGCGGCGCCCGGCGCCACAGGCCCTTATCTCACCCCGGCTCCAGGCCGGCGTTGAGCAAGGCCCAGCGAGATGCTGGTCACACAGCAAGGCCGAGCGTCTGGTTCCACACCTCCCCTCTCCCCCGCAGTGCAGGCTGGGCTGACCTGAACCCTGGCCAAGTCACTGCCCCGCTCCGGGCCGCCTGTGCCCAGCCCGAGCTGGGGGCAAACAGCCCTTGCACCATCGTCGGCTCCTCGGCCAGGCCCACGCCCAGCCCTGCGAGACAGCGGAAAGCGGGGAACGTTTCCCCAGGTCACACGCAGCCGGCCTTGGGGCTCCGTTCAGCTCAGGGGCAAAGCGCAGGGTTCCCACAGCTTTTCCTAACCGGAACCCCGTGAAAAATCTCTGGTCGGCTGCAGCAAGCCGCCCACGCCTGGGAGCGCAGACCTGACTCCATGGTGCTGGGCTGGGCTCTGCCTTGTGGGATTGGGGTGGGCAAGTAGGCCCTGTGGGAACTGGAGGGGTCGCTGTGAGGGCACAGCGCCAGGCGCACGCGGGGTTAGCTGTAGCAAGGCCCTGCACACCCGGCCACCCTCGGCCCAGCCTGCCCGGGTCTAAGCTCCCGCCCTCTGAAGCTCTGATACCCGGGTGGACTTGGCAGGGAGGAGGGGGCTGGGAAGGTGAAAAATCCCTTTGCCTTTCTACGTGGGGCCGACAAGCCGCAGCTCGCTCCCTCCTTGGCGGGCGGGGGAGCTTCGGAGCAGGGCTGAGCAGGAGAAGGCAGTGCAGGGGGTTTTCCGGCTGCGTTCCCAACATCTGCTGCTCGAAGGAGAACCACACGCGGGCGGGCGCCAGGATTGCTGTGGCTTGGAGCTGAAACCAGAAGAATTAGGGGAAAGGTTAGGCGGCTTCCACAGCTGGAAACAGCGCGAGCAGCCCCGAGCCAGGCCCTGATGTCAGGGCAAGAGCTGCAAACGGCCAGCAGCTTTGGGACGGGGCTGCACCAGGCCCCACAGGCCTAAGAACCGCCCCAGAACAGCCCAGTTGTGTTCCCTCCCTGCCCCGTGGCCCCGCTTCCCCCCATGGCCGGGGCACTCCCTGCCCAGCCCGCACCGGGAAGGGGCTGGCTTGTACCGAGCAGGGAGTTTGGCACGTTCTTCCCCTTGGCAGCCCATGCGCTTAGTGACGGCAGGGCTAACGACAGGGCTATGGCCAGGGGCCCGAGGAACGTGCCGGGGGCACCACAGGGGCCTGCCATGTCTAAACCCACCACACAGCAAGGAAACGGGCTCCACGCAGTGCAGTGCCCGCCGAGGGGCCTCCACAGGGAGCTCTGCCCTGGCCGATCCTGGCACCATTTCCACACCGCGTGTCATGGGGTTAGAGTAGGACACTGGGAGCCAGGACTCCTGGGTTCTCTCCCTGGCTCTGGGAGGGGAGTGGGGTCTAGTGGTTAGAGCGTGGGGGGCTGGGAACCAGGACTTCTGGGTTCTCTCCCTGGCTCTGGGAGGGGAGTGGGGACTGGTGGTTAGAGCGGGGCTGGGAGCCAGGACGCCTGGGTTCTCTCCCTGGCTCTGGGAGGGGAGTGGGGACTGGTGGTTAGAGCGGGGCTGGGAGCCAGGACGCCTGGGTTCTCTCCCTGGCT